ACAGAGCACTCTTCTTGGTCAGGAAGATGGCAAGCTTGGCTAGGGCCAGAAGGAGGTTGACCAAGAGGTTTCATGACTTGGTGGGGCTGTGGATGGGGAGCGTGTAAAAAAGGAGTGGGGAGCTGTGCAGCCAGAACCACAGCATAAGGCTCTGGGGGAGACGGTGAAAGGACTGCAGCCTGATGCACTCCAGGTGGGTGTGCCTCTGCCTGCAGAAGAGGCAGGCATCAGGTATGCAAAGTGCGCGAGGTGCATGACCATGGTGACGGCTCTGTAGAGGAGTTGCCAGCTGGGGCCCCTGGGGGCTCACAGGATCAAAGTGGACTCCTGGCTCGCAAACCAGGATCTCTTGCCCCCGTCTTCACCAAGGGTGTCCCACCATTTGTTGCCCAGGCAATGACAGGCTGACAAAGGATGCGACGTGGGGGAGGAGGGGTTCTGTGTGATGAACGTTTCCAAGCCTAGATCTGACGCCTTATGGCTCTCATTTGCTCCGTTTTTCAGCTTTTGCTTTTTTTAGGCAGCAACACTGCCTGGAGGTTGGGCTAGCCCCAGCTCTGTGTGACAGTGACTCCTCTGCAGCCTGTTCGGTTCCTCTCCGTTGTAGATGGCCCAGCTGGAGGTGGCAGGGGATGGACCAAGTTTCCTTGCCACAGGCAGCGCTCCCAGCCATTTAGGTGTCCCATTGCTGCAGCCAGGCAGAGGCTGCCCCAGCTCCCCTTGCAAGGCAGCTGGCACACGCAGCCTGCAGGGACTGGCCGCCCGTGCGAGAAACCCCGACTCAACTTGGACATGGCCTCCCTACTTGCCACAGTCGGACCTGGCTTCGCTCTCAAGCGAGGCTTTCTGCAGGGCGCCGGGCCCGCGCGATGCTCTCGGGGGGGGAGGCGCCGGAAGCCCGGTGGGGAGGGGTGGGGCACTCACCGACTGCCGGCTATTGTCGTCGTCGTCCTCCTCGTAGCCGTCCTCGTCGCCCTCGAGGCGGGAGAAGTCGTCCTCGCCGTAGCCCTCGGACACGAGGCCGCCCTTCTCCTCTGGGGACAGGGGCGAGGGACAGGGTTAGCGCGCCGGCGCCTCGCGGTGGAGAAGAGAGAGGGGATGAGGAAAGGGGACGGGAACTCACCGCCCGCCGCGACGCCATCGCTGCCTGTCGCGCCCGCCTCGCTGTCGGACTCGGGCTCGGAGTCCTCCGCGTAAACCGCCAGCGACGACAGGACGCTCCGCTTAGCCGACGCCATCTTTCCCCTCCCCTGCTGGAAGTGGAGCTCGCTTCCGGCGCGGAGGGATGACGCTCAGGGTCAGAGGGCAAAGCGTTCGCCATGGCAACAAGGCCCGCCCCTTCCGCTTCGGGCTAGTTGGCGGGGAACGCTGGTGCTTTCCCCGTCTCAGCCGGTCCGCGGAGAGCGAAACCTGCTAGGCGGCACGGGGCCCCTCCGCCGCGACGGCGCTCGGTAACGGCGGCGGCCTCCGAGTGAGGGTGACTGGCCCTTTAACGGGCGCTGCTGACGTCACCTCTCCGCGCCAGGGGCCGCCGCAGCAACAGGTGCCGGAAGCGGAGGAGCGGTGAGGATCGGGATCGGGGCCGAGGCCGCCCGCGCGGAGGGGGAAAGGGACCCGGCTAGGGAAGCAAAAGGGCTCAAGTAGTCCCTGCTGCCGGGCAGGTTTCCTCTGGGAGGGGCAGGGCCCTGGGGAGGGGGGGAGGAGGAGGCAGCGGAGGAGGGGGCGAGCAGTTGAGGAAGGTGCAGCCTTGCAAAGAGCCGGCCTAGGGGCAGAGATGAAAGCTCCCGTGGCCCTTCCTGCTCCCCTTCCCCATTCCCTCCAGTCAGGCCGGCGCCTGGCACCAGCACCAGCTCCTTGCCGAGGGGTTGAGCTCTATCCCCTGTTCACCCTTCAGAAACCGTTGCAAGTGCCGTGTGCGTAGGGGGAGGAAACGGGTGTCGGTTGTAGGGGGAGGAAAGGTTTTGCCATGAGACTGGTTCTCCCTTGTTTAGTGGGGTGTGGAGGAGGGCGGGGGAAGGCGGCTGACTTATGAAGGATTCCGGCTCTGCCCCGGGGGAGGGGGGTGGGCTTTGGAAGCAAAGATGCCTTCAGGAACCTGGTGCTGGAGGAGTGTGACCTGCAGCATTCAGGCGGGTGAGACTTGTGGGACTAATCCTCCTGACGGAGGTGTTGCGATTGGCTGCTGGTACAGAGAACAGCAGAGCTAAGTAAGCTCCTTTCCTTCTTCTTTACCTTGACCTAGTCCTAGGTCCCATAAGATGAACGAGCGCAGCTCCTCGGGCCTGGAGGGCCAGGTCCGGAAGACTCTGAAGAAGGTCTTTGGTTTTGATTCCTTCAGGACCTCTCTGCAAGAAAGTGCAGTCTTGACAGTAGCGAAAGGTAAGACACAACAGTTGTTTGGGGGGCTGTGACCTTACTTTGTCAGCTTCCAGTTCTTCTGCCTGCAGTGGAGTTGAAGGAGCTGGCCTCATGGATTATGCGTTGCTGACAGTGGTTTTGAATCCCTACAGAGGGTTTCTTGGTCTGGCCACTCTGGTAAACCATCCTAGACCAGAGATAATCCAAGGGTGCTTTGCTGGGGAAGAAATGCTAGTATCCTTTACTGGGAAAGTGGTCTCAGTGGATGTAGATGACTTAGCAAACCTGCCTCGTATACCATTATAATAATGGTGTTTCCTCCCTCCACCCCAACATAAGAAATCTTAAGCTGGTTAATATGCAGTTTTGCTGATTTAAGTGCCCTTCCTCTAGGACCTCCAGCTGGCTCAGCTATAGATTCATAGATTGTTAGGGGCTGGAAGGGACCTTACAAGATCATTGGGTCCAGCCCCCCTGCACTAGGCAGAAAAGACAACTGGGGTCAGGTGACCCCAGCAAGGTGACTGTCCAGTCTCCTGTATCGGGGTTTGCAGCTCTTCACACCTTAAACTGACAAAGTAGTGCTGGCAGAAGTTTATAACATGACTTGGCTCCATTATAGATATGGTTTGAATTCATGGAAGAGTTCTCTGAATGAAATGGTAAAAGCATTCTTTCACTGGTGAGACCCTGTGTATGCTAGGGTTTTGCCAAGGTGCCTTTGTAAACCAGGTTTGGTTCTGTGCTCTTGACTGACACGGCTGTGCTAACAGAACTGCTAGTTATAGACCAGGCCATAGTGTCAGAAGCCTATGATCTCCCTCTCTCCACTGGCCACTAGCTCACACACACAGCTGTAGCAAGTGCCTGTGTCAGAGCCAGGGTATCATGTCAGCAATATGTTTCTGCCTTCTAGTTAGTGTGGTATGAGTTGTCCTCTTTCTCATTTAGTAATGGATGCTGTTTTACAATACTAGTTCATATAGAGTATCCACTTGCAGTTGAAAGAGTCTTAAATCTCTGTTGCGGGGAGATTTTATTTAACAGACTGCAGTAAAAATCTGTCCAGAGACTAGCAGCTTAATTGCTGAAGGTACAGTCTAAAAGCAAGCCCTTCTGGCACTGGGATGGTATAATCTTGAATAAGTCAGTTAACTTCACTGTCCCTTGGTTTAAACCTCTGGGTAGAATAATTCCTGTTGCGTAGCAGGATTACAAGGCTGAACTCATAGTTTCATAGCTTCTAGGGTCGGAAGGGACCCGAGCAGATCATCTAGTTCGACCCCCTGCCATGGCAAGAAGAGCACTGGGGTCAAACGACCCCAGTAAGGTGGTCATCCAACCTCCTCTTAAAAATTCATTGCAAAGCAGCTGGAGATTCTTGTAAAGAAGCAGCTAGAAACATGCAAAAGATTATTTTGCTTTTAGGAACTAAAAAAGACCTTTCTTGTGCTGGCATCTAGTGCTGTACGTGCATAAGCCCAGCATGAATACGGCTTCTCTTCATGTATACAAGCTGTTGTACCCAACCCTCCACAGCATAATCCAAAGGAATTTACCGCTGTTCAGCAGCTTTGAGTCTTGTTCTGTTGTCTTCGCAGGCGAGAAGGATGTCTTTGTATGCATGCCCACAGGGGCAGGGAAATCCCTGTGCTACCAGCTTCCTGCAGTACTGGCAGTGGGCATCACCATTGTCATTTCACCTCTGATTGCACTGATTCAGGTAACCATCTCCTGTTAGCTTTGGATAGGCAATCAGTGAAGGGGAGGGGAGACTGGGGAAACACAGTTGGGTCCTGCCTTTCTACCCACCAACTTCTAACATCAATTGGTCTCTCAGGTCTCTTCTCATTACCAATGAGTTGGTTTTGCCACTCTGTTAGTAGGAGAAAATGTTGCTGCTGCCTGATTTACCTGGGTTTAAAGTCTTCTGACTTGTCTAAAGAGCAGAACTATGGGAGGCCTCTCTCCAGCATTCTAATGGTGACAGTAATGGGACTTGAACCAATATAACTGCAGTGGGGACCTTTGATTTAACAGAGGGTCACAATGATTGGTCCTGCTTCCTTCCCTCAGTGATATGCTGTCTGGAGACAGCAGCATTGATCCACTATAGGTGTTTTAACTGGAGCTTTCCCAAGAATAAAACTGCCATTTTATCACCTATAGTAAGAACCCTAAGGATAGTCCTTTTTTCTCATAACTGATCTTTGTCATTATCAGACAGAATTGGGGACAAAAAAGCAATTCTGGGAAGGAGTTTTTGGCACAGGTGCTGCTTAAACATTTTAGGTTACAGGACACTTACTTTGGGGCACCTTACTGTTTCTGGTGTGTTATACTCCGTTGTGAACAATGACTCTCCACAGGAGAAGCTGCAACTTTGCTTAGATTCGGTCCAGTCCAACACACTGCATGATGCTGGTTTCCTTTTAAATAGGCTTCAACCAACATTTTACATATTTTCGAAATGGCTGATAGCTCTCAGAAAATAGTTATCAGTAGGGAATTTCCTTCAATCTAGAGTCTTTCCAGTTGGGTTCTGCAGGGATTAGTAGTAGTCCTGATGCTATTCCATATTTTTCTCAAGGACCTGAAAGTTGAGAGAGAGAAAATTGCTGCTGATACAATTTGCAGATGACTCAAAGATGGGCAGGGTGCTAACTAACAAAGAGGATAATGCAGTTTGGCCAGGAGGATGTATATTGCTTGTTAAGGGCTGTTGAAATGTACTGCATTTTGTACAGCTAAATACAAAGGCGAATAATACCTAGGACCTGAGAATGCACTGGTGAGACTGAAACTGGAATGCTGTGCACAGTTCTCGTGTGTTTTTAAAAAGATGCTGGGAAAACTGGCAGGGATGCAAGGGAAAGCCACAGAAGTGAATCAAGGGCTGGAGAATGTGCCTTGCAGTGAGAGACTTGGTGCAGTCAATTTATTACAAAGGAAACTGGAAGCTGACTGGATGGTGAAGCACTTTCTCCCTTGGGGTGAAAAGCTCCATAGCCTAGTAAACAAAGGCCTGACAGGAGCCAGTGGATGAAGTGAAAGCTGGACAGATTCAAATTAGAATTAAGTTACACAGTTTACCAGTGAAATGCTGGTCTGTTCCACTGGTTAGTCAAGTGGAGTGGAGAACTCCCTGTCTCAGCAAAGGCAAATTCCCAAAAGCTTGAGTAAGACTGTGCCTGCCTGGAAGCCATGCCTTAGTCACCTAAGGTATTGGGCTCAATTCAGGGGCAAGAACATGCCATTCTGTGACCTGTGTAATGCACAGAGTCAGATTATTGGATCTGGTCGTTCCTTTGTGCTTTAAGAATCTATGAATTTCACCTTGGAGGTGGGCCCTTTGTGTAATGGTGGGTGAAGCAATATCTGTATGTAGAATGTATTTCACTTAAGTTTGTAAAATGCTTTGGCAGCCTGTGGATCTAGAGATGCTCTATAGATATGAATAGTCGGCATGCCTAATGCTCTCATGGTAAGCATCCTGAAAAGATTTGGTCCCCTCCCACCTCTTCTGGGAAAGGCTGGACATGTCATGCATAGATCCCTTCTGCTAGTTTCTTTGCTGCACAGGGAGTGTTTGTCACCATAAAAGCCAGTGGTCGCACAGACGCAAGGCTGAATGGTTTTGCTAGCTGCTGTGTTTAAAACTTTGCATGCTTTTGGTTTAAGAGGGTTGGAGCTGTGACTTTGCAGTAGCTGTGTGTAGACCTGGTCTGGGTTGGGGTACAGCTTGATTTTTTTTTTTTTTTTTTTTTTAATGGTTATCTTTTCTGGTAGCAATCCTGATACCATGCTTCCTTCAGTGCTATTTTCTTCCTCTGTCACAGGATCAAGTGGATCATTTGTTGGCCCGGAAGGTCAGAGTCTACTCCCTG